CAAATTGGACCCAAAACCCCTCAAAATTCACCCCAAACGACCCCAAAACTTGAAATGCCCCAAAAAGCCGGAATTTAAGCCCAAAGTGGCTCATTTTTCTCACCTGTATCCCCTCCCGCGGGGTCGGCTGAAGCCGCTGTAGAAGTGGGAGCGGGCGGAGCCGACCCCAAAAACACCCCAAAAACACCCCCAAAACACCCCAAAAATCGCCCAAAAACACCCCAAAACACTGAAAAACACCCCAAACCCCAAACTACCCAAAATTTGACCCAAAAAAACCCAAAAAACCCTAAATCCCCTCACCTGTCTCCCCTCCCGCGAGGTCAGCTGAAGCTGCCAGAGGAGTCGGATCCCACCCCAAAACCACCCCAAAAATTCCCAAAATTCCCCCCAAAAAACCCCTAACCCCTCAAAAACCCCAAAACGACCCAAAATGACCCAAAAAACGCTCCTTTTTCTCACCTGTATCCCCTCCCGCGGGGTCGGCTGAAGCCGCTGTAGAAGCGGGAGCGGGTGGAGCCGACCCCAAAACCGCCCCAAAAACACCCCAAAACACCCCAAAAATCGCCCAAAAACACCCCCAAAACACTGAAAAACATCCCAAACCCCAAAATACCCCGAATTTGACCCCAAAAACCCCCAAATTTGACACAAAAAACCCAAATCTGACCCAAAATCCCCTCACAGATCTCCCCTCTCGCGGGGTCAGCTGAAGGTGGAGGGGTCGGATCCGACCCTAAAACCGCCCCAAAAACACCCCAAAAATCCCCAAAACCACCCCAAAAATCGCCCAAAAACACCCCAAAACACTGAAAAACATCCCAAACCCCAAAATACCCCAAATTTGACCCAAAAAAACCCAAATTTTACCTCAAAAAACGCTAAATTTGCTCACGTGTCTCCCCTCCTGCGGGGTTGGATGAAGGAGGGGGTGGAGTCGAATCCGACCCCAAAACCACCCCAAACCACCCCAAAAATTCCCGAAATTCCCCCCAAAAAACCCCTAACCCCTCAAAAACCCCAAAACGACCCAAAATGACCCAAAAAAACGCTCCTTTTTCTCACCTGTATCCCCTCCCGCGGGGTCGGCTGAAGCCGCTGTAGAAGCGGGAGCGGGCGGAGCCGACCCCAAAAACACCCCAAAAACACCCCAAAAACACCCCAAAAATCGCCCAAAAACACCCCCAAAACACTGAAGAACACCCCAAACCCCAAAATACCCCAAATTTGACCCCAAAAACCCCCAAATTTGACACAAAAACCCCAAATCTGACCCAAAATCCCCTCACAGATCTCCCCTCTCGCGGGGTCAGCTGAAGGTGGAGGGGTCGGATCCGACCCTAAAACCGCCCCAAAAACACCCCAAAAATCCCCAAAACCACCCCAAAAATCCCCCAAAAACACCCCAAAACACTGAAAAACATCCCAAACCCCAAAATACCCCAAATTTGACCCAAAAAACCCCAAATTTTACCTCAAAAAACGCTAAATTTGCTCACGTGTCTCCCCTCCTGCGGGGTTGGATGAAGGAGGGGAGGAGTCGAATCCCACCCCAAAACCACCCAAAACCACCCCAAAAATTCCCAAAATTCACCCCAAAAAACCCCTAACCCCTCAAAAACCCCAAAACGACCCAAAATGACCCCAAAAAAGGCTCCTTTTTCTCACCTGTATCCCCTCCCGCGGGGTCGGCTGAAGCCGCTGTAGAAGCGGGAGCGGGCGGAGCCGAAGCCGCCGCCCCCCCGGCCCCGGAAGCGGCCCCGCGGGAAGCCCCGGTCGGTGCTGCTGATCCCGGGGCGGTTCGTCCGCTTCGGGATCACCTGGGGAGGAAAAAAAAGGGGAAATGAGGGGAAAAACGGGAATTCTGGTAAGTTGGGGGGAAAAATCCGGGTGAAAATCGGCGAAAATTGGGTGGAAATCGGGTGAAAATCGAGCGGGAAACGGGCGGGAAATGGCGGCGTCGGAGGGGGTTTGGGGGAAAATTGAGGAATTCTGAGGGAAAAATGTAGGAGTTTGTGGGGAAAATGAGGGAATCTGGGTGGAATTCAAATGGAAATGGGGGAATTAGGGGGAAAAATGGGGAAATTTGGGCAAAAATTGGTGAAATTTGGGCAAAAATCGGGCAAGAATTGGGCGGGAAATGGCGGCATCGGAGGGGGTTTGGAGGAAAATTGAGGAATTCTGAGGGAA